CTCCGTTCTGTAATAGTTGAGTGGTCTGAATTCGTGTAGAGGTCTCTTGCCCTTGGACTGCATTCTCGTAGCTGCTGGCTCAGTCATGAATGGCTGTTGTCTAGTACCAGTTAGATATGGTCTCTTATTATAGGCACTAGTTAGTTTAAGATGCCTCTGCACATCCTTGTAATATTGTTTCCCATCAATTGGAAGCTCTTTCAACCACTTGTAGCTCAACCTACATCTGGGACACATTTTTTGCACGACAGCAGCCTCTAAAGAATCATCATCCAGTGCCTCTTCATCAGAGTCCTCCTTTTGACATGCAAAGCCTTGCCCAACAGCTGGTAAACTTCTAGCATCTATTTTGACAGTAGTTTGGCTGGTAACATGCATTTGCACATTGACCTCTTCCAATTCTTTCAAGGACAAGTTCTGGAAGTCTGGTACAATAACATTGGCTGCCATTTCTCCAATTTCTGGGAATGGATTAGTGTCAATCCCCATGGTCTTTTCTGCTTTAGCTGGGAATTTTAAACTCTCTTTTCGAATATGCTCTTGGATCCTATCTCAAAAAACAATGCAGTTTTTAGTTGAGTAAGACCAAGAATTATGCCATTTACAATACACTTTTCTTTTAAGTTCCTCTGGAGATGGAATTTTGACACCTTTTGGTAACTTCAAGAAGTTTGTCGCAAGCGAATGATAAAAAATGTCATCTGCCTTTGTTAAATTGAAAGAGTATGTCCTATGAAGGTCTTTCTTTTTAAACTGTTGGTCTATTGTTGTGTCTTTATGAATTAATGCTTCACAGATCACAGGTTCTTTTCTCACAATCTCTGCCGCATCAATCTCATAATTAGGATCTCTATAATACGTCTTGTATGATGCATTACTTCGATCTTGTTCTTCCTCTAGTAATGTTTCATACCTAGACACCTTATAGGTTAGTTCCACCAAGTCTCTAAACTCAGTTGAGTCAAACTTCTTTCGAAGCCTAAACTCGAGACCATTTTGAGCCAGCCTCACAAATTCAGGCTCTGGTAAGATGATCCTACATTTGTTTCATGCTCTTTTGAATCTAGAAATAAACTAAGTAGCCTACTCATCAGGCCTTTGACTCAATCTTGCCAAGTCTGCCATGGACACTTCTGGCTCTATTTGGAAGAATTGGGCATGAAATGCCTCCTCCATTTGTTGCCAAGTTTGGATAAAGCCAGGTGTAAGGTTAATATACCATACAAAGGCTCCCCCAGTTAGAGAATTTGGAAATAATCTTAACTTCATATAGTCATTATTGGTAAATTCACCGCATTGAGTCGCGAACCTAGCAATATGTTCAACCGTTGACTGGTTTCCATTCCCAGAAAAAAGGGCAAAATCTGGTATCCTGAAACCTCTTGGGTATTCATGTACCCTATCTATCCATTCTGGGTACGGTCTCCTGTACACAGGAGTCTGAACCCCCCGAGCCATTGGCCCACACATCTCTCTAACAATATCAGCAATTTGGTCCCTAGGGACCATATTTTGTGCCTGTTGAACCACTTTTGGAGGAACAAATACAGGATTTTGTGGACAACCTGGTGCCTGGGGTCCTCTTGGTCCATAGAGTTGTATGTTTGGTACTGGTTGTCCTTGTGGTGCTGGCTGCTGTTGAGGGTATGGGTGACTCCTTTGAGCCTGTCCTGCGAAAGGACCTGCGAATGGTGCTGGAAAAGGTGTTGTGTCTCTTCCAATTACAGGAAACCCTTCCAATCCCCAGGGTGTAAATTCGAACAAAGGATTAGTGAACCCCCTCGTACCGGGTATGGCTTCGAACATGGGATTTGGAAACATCCTTACGTCATTTTCCTGTGTTGGACTAGATCTACCAATTTGCATGGCTTCACTGTTAAGTAAGGAAGCATTTTGATTTGCTACAGGCCTCGAAAGAGGCTCATACCAAGACTGAGGTGATGGTCTTTCATTGTTTTGGTTACTAGTTTGACCATTAGTATGTCCATTACTCTGCATAGGCTGTTTATCTCTAGCCAATCTTTGCTGAGGGACATTTGAATTTTCCTCTATATGTCTTGCGTGAGTTGGTTGATGAGTGTTTATTCGATCCAAAAATGATGTTGCCCATCTTTCCATTGTGTTCATTAACTGCTGTCCCATAGCATCTACTAGGCCCCCTCACGGGTTCATTGGCTGAGTAGATAGAACAGTGGACGGTCCAATTCCTTGGCCTCGTCCAATATTATGAACATGTGGTACTTGTTCCAAAGTGCTGGTCTGTTCAACCATAGGTTCTGATAAAATAGGCGCTTCCACAAGATGTGTTATCACATTATCCTCTAGATTAGGCATTTCTATCTCTTCTTCCACGCCTTCTTTCAAACGTTCATTTTCTTCTTGTCTCCTACGTCTAGCCATTCAATTAGTTCCATCGGGCGTGCCAAAAATATATGTTGGCTTTTTGGTTTTCGAAAGTTATTTTTGTAATTATGAGCGTGCCAGTAAGGATCAATCAATCCTTACAAAATATTAATTACCAACCAATTATCAGACGATTGTGTTTTAGTTCTTTCAATCTCAATGAAAAGGACTTTTATTGGTGGCTTTGTTTAGGAGAATTAAGCAGTCAATGATTAAATGAAGAACAATTGTAGTATTTTATTAAGCAAAATGAAAGATTTACAAAGATCCTCAGCCTCGTAGAGGTTTACAGCAACAAGCTACTTGAAAACGACTCCTATAAACGAAATGCAGTGCAAGAATTTGAAGTACAGAAATGTAAAGAACAAGAAATGTAAAACTGGAAAGGAAATAAAGTAGAATAAAACTGGTTTTTTGGATCTGAGTCTGGGGGGATTTTTTGGGACCTTCTCTGCTATTTATACTTCACAGTGACAACCATCGAACTGTACTTCTAACCGTTGAACTGCTCCTCCATGATCGCTGATCATGTTGCCTTATAGTTAGCTCCGCTATGCCAATACCTGCAGTTAGGCTTCCCTCTTGATTTTGAATTTAAATGTGAGTAACCGTTAAGGTCACGTCATCTTGCATCTCTTTGCTGATTCAATGTTACGTAGATCTACAACAAACCAATGCTGACTGCCACGTGTGTGATTATGATTGAAGATTTAAATTGTCTTCCTGTACTGCCCTTATTCTGCCACGACCGAACTGTGATTGGCTTGTACAAAATATATAGCCAACAATAGTAGTATAAGAATAATGATAAAAGAAAAATATACAAATAGTATTATTGGCCAAGTGATAAAGACTTATTTTGTCAAATTTATGATTTTAATTTCAAGTCTAATCTTCGTTTTTTTTACCTAAATATCAACTGCAACTACAGGATATTTTGAAAAAATCGAAAATGTGAGAACAAATGTGGCAACACCGCTAGCAATTTTCACTTTATATTTGATCTTTCTTCGGAAAAAAGTTGAATTTTTATTTATTATTTGTTTTTGGTCTTCATCTAGCAATCCATCAAAATGAAGGCCGTTGTTTGTGAATTTTTTATAATATTTAAAAGTTTAAAAAGAGTCCTTAAAAATATATAAAGTTAAAAAATTATATAAAAAAGTCAAGTTTTACCATTTTTTGTTTTTTTTTTCTTTTAACTTTTTTATATGTTTTTTTCATAAAAATTAAAATATATTCAAAACATAATAATTTTTTTCATCTACTATTTTAACTAATAAATAAATTTTTTTTAATTAAAATAACATATTTCCAAACCAACCGGAAGTTCAATGAGGCCAGTGGTATTTTCTTTTTTTTAATGGCCCAAAGATGGATGAGGGAAGTAGCCTAGTGCAACTATTAAGAATTTGAAGCCATAATATATGTTTAATTGAGACGATCACTTGAACATTTTCCGGATTAACTTTTTCACTTTAATTTATTTTCTAACCTTTTAATGTGTGAAACGTAATTATATGTCCTTCATATTTTACTTATTTTTTTCTTTTTCTTTTTCTTTTTTTAAATCTCTCCTCAAATATATGAACCAAACACAATTTTAAAGATTTGAAATCCATGATTGGCAATGGTCTTATTTAGCAAATCGGCCCCTTTGTAATCGCCAATCAAAGTCACTCAGCTATCGCTAAATCTACATTTTGATGGGCCTTGTGATATTGCCTTTTCTATGGCCCAAACTTTTAGATCCACTATACTGATGTTGTTAGTGCCAATAATATAAAGGGAATGATTTTTGAAGGTTCAAACCAAAGCAAAATAATTATTTTTGTTTCTTCTGCCAATTGATAAGAGATTGCTTATAAATATTAAAAAATTATATCAAACTAAAAAATCAACTATATAAGAAAATCTAACATTATATACATACAAATCGAACCCCAACAATTACTATCCTTTAAAAGATACAAAATAAAAATCACTACACCAATAATTGACCCTTGATCTCTCAATTTTAGAGTGCTGCTATTAGTACCTATCAAAATTCTTTGAAACCCCCATTTTATAATTTTTTTTTACTATAATTATACCCTAAAGTAAAATTATATTAAAAGACATTATGAAATGGAACACCCACCTATCAATAAGAACTAATACTCTATAATATTGGACACCCGCCCCCACCCCCAACTCCAACTATACGTATTCCATGTTTGTAAACCCTAAACCTATTACTTTTTATAACCAACTAACGTAAACCCTAAATCTATTATTTTTCATAATCATCTTAAATCCTGAATGTGTCATATTCATCACCATCATCAACGCTATTGAACTTGAAAGTTTTGCTTCAAGTATAACGTACACTTCATCACTTATTTCACTGTGTAGATCAATGGAGGACGAGGACAACAATTCTAGTGAGACCGGCGTTCTATTAGTAAGTTTATCTGTCTTATATTAACATTCTCGGTTGTTTTCGGTCGTTCTTGTTTCGTTTGATCTGTTCGGTACTGGTTTGCTAACTGTTAGAATTATGTTCGGTAATACAGTACTGAACATAATCCTTTCGTTCAATACAAAGGTTTTGAACATTAATGCAGATAGTCAGAACTATTAAACCGAATATCATCTTCATTTTCGTCACTGTTGAACTGAACAAAACCATTAGTTTCGGGACTGTTGAAATGAACATCTTTTTTTCAATTTTGAAATTACATTCACACGTGTTTTCAAGGTGATGCTTCGACTAAAGGCAGTAAGGTTGATTCAGAACTTGTAATGGATTATAGTAATGAATTTGTTACTCATGAGATGAGCCTTTGATTGTTTTGCAAATAACGTACATTTTTTATGTGCAATAATTGGTTAGTTTAATTTATTTATTTCAGATATTCAAGAGGCGAGATGAGTTAATTCGATGGGCACATCAAGTTGGAAGAAGAAATGGATTCGTTATTGTCGTGCAAAAATCAGATGGGGGTGGTATTCGAGGTAGGAAGCCAAGACTTAGCTTAGCTTATGAGAGTAGTGGATCTTATAGGGACACTCGAAAAAACAGCAGGCCTAAGACAAAAAAAGCAAGACTGACTGGTACAAAAAAATGTGAATGTCCTTTTTTATTGAAGGGCAAAAAATTAGCCACAAATGATGACTGGATCTTGATAGTTGTTTGTGGTGTGCATAATCATCCTGTTGCAGAATATCTTGAGGGTCATTCTTATGCTAGAAGCTTGTCACATGAGGAAACCTCTTTGTTGGTAGACATGTCCAAGAGTATGGTACGACCGAGTGAGATATTGGTTACATTGAAACAACGTGATGATGCAAATGCTTCCACAATGTGCATATATTTGCACCCTACCAAACTGTCTCAATACCCTATCTGGATGGTATGGTTCAACAATGTGCATACATTTTAAGCATCCACTATAGTAAGCAACATCAGAAAAAGGATGCTCAATACGCTTATCATGGTTTGGATCCCAAATAACCTACAATAGTAAAAATTTTATACGTAAGTTATGAATTAGATTGAATAATAGCAAGTAATATGTACAAACATTGACATAAGATTGACACTTACGTCATGGGCCTCTAATCTGTCGCGGTCATCTCGTAATCTTTGTAAAATAGACGTTGACGAACCAGATTGGGTGCGAGAAATCCAACGAAAGACATGAGACTGATCTTCTTTATAGTCCAAATTGGGGTGGGGTCTAGCACCAACAAAATGCTCGTAAATCCAAGCTTCTAGCAATTTCATGTATCCCGCCATCTGTTTTACGGCATACCTTGTGGCAGTACCCAATTGCCTGTATAAAAAAGCCAATGCGGCTGCACCCTAAACATAAGAAGCTACCAACCGCAAATCCATAAGAAAAGCCAAATACACTACCGGAACACGTGTGCCTGTCTTGTCTGTAAATAAGGTACAACCTAACAAATATAACAAATATGCCCTAGCTGCACACTCAATGGTATTATCATTGTCCGCATCAGACACTGACCCAAACCGTTGTCTCAATCATTCTACCTTGATAGACTGGCCCCGTGCTACCTTCAACGCTACATTTGCCTCATCTATTGTTACTCCCAAAGCCTCAACTAGCAGATTTGTAGCGTCAACATTTGATAACTTCTCGCAAGAGACTGATTTACCAATCACTGGAATCCCTACAATTACACTAACATCATCTAAGGTTGGTGACATCTCACCAAATGGTAGATGAAACGTGTTTGTCTCTGGCTGCCATCTTTCTACAAAGGCCGAAACTACAACTTTGTTTACAAATTTATAGGAGCAACTCACTAAAGAAATCAACCCCGAATCCATAATTAAACCATGAAATTTGGACTGCTCATTATCTTCCAAGTTGAATGACCATTCTCCAACGTTAAAACCATGATTTAAGCATTTAAGTATTCCACGTTCCTGCAACATAGAATAAAAACAAGAAAAAAGAAAAAAAAAAGAATTAGCAAAGTTGAAACAAAATTTGAAACATTAAATTAATGTAAGACAATGACTTACATCATTATGCCAAATTTTGGCTGCTACGTGACAATGAAAACTCTTCAAAATTGAAGGATCATATGGCCCTCTAGGAAAAGGTCCGGTAAGATCTTTATTAACTTTTTCAGTTGTATCTGCTGGTTGGTCTTCATAGTCACGCATGTCTGTTGGTTCATCACCCATATCTATTGGTTCATCCCCCAAATCATCACCCATGTCACTCACATTAAATTGATTGCCCCCATCGTTTTCAACCTCAACCGTTTTTGCTAAAGCAGCACCTATGTCATTCATGTCATGTTCATTAACTCAACTACCTTGATCCTCAGTCTTACGAGTGCGTCGAGGTCTCTTAGCCAATTTTTGAGAAAGTATAACATTACGTCTCCTAGACGCTGTTGGGCGATCTCGAGCAGTTTCCACCATAGCTGTCCACCAAGTACAATTAGATGTGTCATTGAAGTCTATCTTAAATAGGTGTGTCGTGACCAATTCAAATAGGAAACAACAAACTAAGATAGTTTCTTACCAAACACAAAATGAATAAACGATAAAGAAACTACTAAAAATAAGATATTTGAGTTAGACCAAAATTTGAGAATTGTAATGCATTAGAAGCATGCCAAGAGCAAGGCCAGAAAAAAAAAAAAAAAATCCTAAATAAAATTATAGACAAAAACAAAGCTTTCCAAAAAAAAAAGTGCAAAAATTTGAGAGTCTAAACAATTAAGAATTTGGTATTAAAAACAAAAGGCTTACTACACGACAAAAACTAAACTAACCAATATTCTTTGTTGATAATTTCAGATTTGTCATTTACAACAAACAATGTATAACAAAAACTAAACTAACCAATATTCTGGATAGATTCAAATTAAATATGGGTTGGTCTAGATCTTATCTTTTATATAATTTAAAGCAAAATTCTTTTTTATCTTAAATGGAGAGGCACTGTTGACATCATAAAATATTTTTTATTGATTATGACTTATTATTCCATCTTGAGGGATACTGCCACTGTACATACTGGTCAGGGCCCTGGAGGGTTGCATATTTCTCCTGTGTCCTGAATATGGTAAGCAACAAAATTTATGATGTTCACTAACTGGTTATGCAGATTGTTAAGCTGGCTGTACTGTAGAGATGGTGAGTTGAGTGACAATGAGCAAAGACCTAGGCATGAGAGGACAGGGTGTGGAGGGTTGAGTGACCTAAGGCACTATATCATTTCTAACTTTTTGCTACAGGTTTTGAAAGCTGGTACAAATATTAGGGAGTTGTTTGTTGAGGGCCTAGTGAAAAGAGGATACATTTTTGGAATCAAGTCTTTTATTACTTCTTATATTATTTGTCCTGCCTCTTTGCTGAGTGAAATGGCTTTAATGAGGGTTGAGTATGTTAGCTCATACAATAAGGAGATTTTTTGCAGGTTTTCTTATTGTTGTGGGTTGAGTGACTTAGCCTACAAAATGTGTGTGTGTGTGCGTGTGTATGTATGTGTGTGTGTGTGGGTGTGTGTGTTGAAATGGGGTGGTTTAAGTGTAGGTCAACTGGACAATTCTGGGAGCAACTTTGGGGTGTTTATTTCCTACTTGATTGCGTGTTATGTTGTTTCTTTGTGGGAAGAAATGCACCCTGATAAAGGATATGGAGGCGAATCTGCCCGATGAGAAAATGGAAGACATTAGGAGAGCCAGGCAGCAAGAATGCGCCAATTCTTTCGATGTGCTTCGTTGTGGAGAGTTGGTGTTTTCATTATGGTTAGTATTGTATATAATGGTTTTGAGGCTATGATTGTTATTCACCATCTTTGTATGTATGGTTACTATTTTGAGGCTTACCCAGGCGGGCTGTGCTTGGGGGAAAACTGTGTGTGTCTAGCTGTTATGCGTCCTTACTTATCTTTCTCCATGCTGGGTTAGGAGGAAGCTTAACCGGTCTGCTGGAATATATTGGGGCTGCTACTAGTTTTTGTTTACCTCTGCTTTGAGTCTAGTTCGTTTGGTGATATGTCAAGTGTGAGATGCCTTATTTGGTTTATAGCTTGGGCTTGCTTGGGCTTTACTGCTAAATGCAAGTATGTTATGCAGATAGAATAGATAGATGACTGTGGGAGCTGAATATTTGGCAATGCCAGGAACCGGAAAGAGCGTACTCTGCAGAACAGACACTATTCGGCGTTATCTGGCGCGCTCAGGAGGCCGAATACAATAGATAGGCCGGATAAGCGTAAATCCATGGAGCCGAATATGAGAGAGATCAATGAGTAACGAGTAGGCCCTGGTCCCGAGACCCTGGAAACGAGTATAAATACAGGAACTACAGACAAAGAAAAGGAGAGAGAAAAAAGAAAGGTAAGAATCTCCTTGTTTAACTTAGAATACAAATAACCTATAGCTCGAGATTGACTTGTCCGTCGGAGTGCTAATTCCGGCACCTACGTCGGAGTGTTTATTTCCTTTTAGGTGACTATTTGACGACTACTAGCGTCTCCCAGGATCCGAAGGGTATTTCTACACCACTTCCACACAATTGGCGCCATCTTTGGGAATACTCGAATACATCCATGGAAGGCGTAACCGAAGATCCTTCAGTAACCACTGACGAGATTACACAGAGGGATGACCTTACTCCAGTAAATATGCTCGGAAAGGAAACCATCGCTGCAAGACGCGCTTTGAACTTCGACTCTCTAACGACTTCAGCGCAAGAGACAATGCAAGCAATTATGGAACAAACAAAGCAGAATGAACAGAGGTTGGAGAATATGATCGCTGAAAATGAACATCTCCGTCAAGATTTGGCCCTGGAAGTAGCGAAATCCAGAGAAGTCGCGTGCCAAGATCCCGAATGACCTCCAAGGGTAGGTGAACAACGACCTCGAGCCCGACCAAAGGAAACCGATAGTGACTCCAACTCATTATCCACGGTGCCCGACAAGAAGGGACGATCCGAAACCTCCAGCTCCTCCGAAAAAAGTCTATGAACAAGGAATAAGCGCAGGAGAAATAGTTCGGATGAAAAAGATCAACACGATCCCTTTGTCCGACAGATTGCAAGGGCAATTCTGCCCAAGAAGTTCAAAGCTCCGTCATTTACCCTCTATGATGGAAAATCAGACCCCACCGATTACATCCGTTACTACAAGCAAGCCATGACATTATATGCAGACAACGAGGCCCTCATGTGCCGAATATTCCCCAGCCGCTTGGGACCTCTGGCAGTCAGGTGGTATTACAAACTGGAGCCGGCTTCGAAAAGCTTCCATCAATTACAGAAGTCCTTTAGGGCCAAATTTATCACCAACGAGGTCTAGCTGAAATAAGCAGACTCTCTCTGGGTGATGCAAATTCAACCTGAAGAAACACTGAGAGCGTATTCGGCGTGCTATTGGAAATGCTTTAATCTTGTTGACGACGCTTGCAACGATTCCATGGCCATCACCGCCTTCAAAATGGGATTGTAACCAGACAGTGCCCTCCGCAGTTCCTTGACCAGAAGACCCCCCAAAACGGTCTGGGAGTTGATGAAGAAAGTTGAAGAATACTGCAAGGTAGAGGACGATGCCTTGCGGGTTAAAGCCGGACGCGTATGAAATTGTTCAGCCAATAAGTTCCGTACCGCCTCAAAGCCCAAAACCATGGCAGCGGGGTAAATGAGATAAAGGGCAGGATTCTCGCCGATCGAACGATCAGTGCTCTCACCGAACGAATGAACAACTGCAAGTCAATAGCAGGTGCACGAGACGTACCGACAAAAAATATACGGAACTGACAGAGCCGATCAATGCGGTAATGTCCAAAATCCAACATCTGCCGTTCTTCAAATGGTCATCGAAGATGGTAGGCCCCCCTGACACACGAAGGCGGGATAAGCGCTGCGAGTATCACAAAGATCATGGCCACGAAACTAAAAATTGCTACGCATTAAAGGATCACCTGGAGGAACTGGTGCAAGATGGCCAGCTACAACAGTAAGTAAGAAAAGGCAACCCAACCAAGGCACTAGCCTTAAGACAAGATTCACCTCCACTTGGCGTGATCCATATGATATACAGCCTGCCAGCACCTCTAACCGTGTACACGAATCAATCGCATCCAGTCCCCCGATAGTAACATACTCCAACCAAATGGCCAAAAAAAGCTCCGAGTATTGCCTTCAACGATTCTGATCTTGTCGGCATGACAATCTCCCACATTGATCTGTTGATCATCAGATTACGCGTAAACCAGTTTACTGTCGAACGCATTTTCGTAGATCCAGGGAGTACGTCGGAGGTTATGTATTATGAGACCCTCATCAAACTCGGCTTCAACGAGTCAGATCTGTCTCCGGCGCCTTATCCGTTATTCAGCTTCAACATGAATCCAGAGTACCCATTGGGGAAGATCACACTACCCGTTCGAGCGGGCTCCGGAACAATCAAGGTTGAATTCTTGGTCGTAAAGCTTCCTTCACCGTATAATGTCATCATGGGGCGAACCTGTTTACATATCATACAGGCCGTGCCAAGCACTTATCATCAGCTTATGCGCTTCCCGACAGCCCGTGGCGTTGAAGAGATCCGTGGCTGCCAGCAGTCAGCATGAACAGTTTTATGAAAGTTCTATCACTGACCCGACTTGTGGACTTTGATACTTGTATTTAGCTGACTTCTACAATGAAAAGTCTCATCTTTTTCCATCGTGCAATTCACTTCCCATTATAGTGTCAAATAAGCCTCCGGATTCGGAGCGCCCTCCGGTGCATAACACCTTAGGGCCGATTAAGCCTCCGGATTCAGAGCCCCCTTCGGTGTAAAACACGTCGGGGCCGATTAAGTCTCCGGATTCGGAGGGCCTTTCGTGCATATCACAATTGGCTCGAATAAGTCTCCGGATTTGGAGTGCCCTCCGTGGATATCACGATTGGCTCAAATAAGCCTCCGAATTCGAAGCGCCCTTCGGTGCATGACACCTTAGGGCCAATTAAGTCTCCGGATTCGGAGCCCCCTTCGGTGCAAAACACGTTGGGGCCGATTGAGTCTTCGAATTCTGAGCGCTCTTCGTGGATATCACGATTGGCTCAAATAAGCCTCCGGATTCGGAGCCCCCTTCGGTGTATGACACCTTAGGGCCTATTAAACCTCCGGATTCGGAGCCCTTTTTGGTGCATGACACATTGGGGCCGATTAAGTCTCCGGATTCGGAGTGCCCTTCGTGGATATCACGATTGGCTCAAATAAGCCTCCGGATTCGGAGCGCCCTTCGGTGCATGACACCTTAAGGCCAATTAAGCCTCCGGATTCGGAGCCC